CATGGGCAAGTCTTGTCTTGTCATTTGACTGCCCAGGTAAGGACTATGTTTCTCAGCTTCCTTTCTAGCAGGTGTGGCCATGTGACAAGGCTCTGGTCCCCGAGAGGTGCCCAGGCTCCACCCTTCCTCCATTGTTGTCATGGTTGCCGGACTGGGAAGAACGTAAGGGACCTGCCCTGTGCGTGAAACATCTAGGTGACCGTGACAGTGGGAGCTCAGTGTTGGAAGAAATGGCCTTGGTAGAAAGGGAGAGCCCTGGGAGCTCACTGGCAGGTGTCAGCTTTTTCTGCTGCCGAACTGACCTAGACTTGCTGAGCCCGCTCTTTGCCAATCTACCGAAAAGGGTCTTCTTTCTCAGATGAGCTTCCAGGGGCATGTCCTTTAGCTGGATTATGTAAGTTTTGTTATTCCTGGTAGCGTAGACACAGCTATGTCAGAGCACAGTACTGAAGGGTGGCCGCAAGTCACCCTGTTCAATGCTGACCCACGCCAACATGCCGTGTGTGACATAGTGAGAGTGCTTGGTAGCACACCAGGATTTGGACTTTGCAACAAAGACCCTTCAGAATGATAGACATAAGAAGTTTCTTACCATAAAACACTGAGATGGTCATTGCAATAAGGATGAATATATTGCTGGGCACCTGGACAAATGTCACTAGAAAAAAAGGTCCGAGGGACAAATGTGTTCTCTGCTCTTTAGTTTGAGTGCGGATTTTACATCACGCTTGGTCTCCTCACACTATTAACCATTTTGGATTTTTCCACAATGAAAGTGGAAAATGTCTTAAAATTACTGTACTCGTTATAGATGCTGAAGGGACCCTCATACCCCATCACTTCATGCCAAGTCTGAAGTCTGATAAACTGCCACTGCTTGGGTTCGGGCCTCACCATGTCTTGATGGATTGCTGCAATAATGGCCCCTCCCCCCTAACTAACTTCTTTCTTCTTCCTCTTCCCTGCCCCAGTCTATTCTCCACACTACTGAATTTTCTCTGAAATGCAAACCTGATCATGTTACTCTTCTCTATCGAACTCTTTATTAGTTCCCTTTGCTTACAGGATAATTCAGAACAAGACCCAGCTGTATCTGCTAGGTGCTGACTCTGCCATTTATAAGTTGAAGAAACTTGAGAAAGGTAGCTAAATACCGTGAGCTTCAAGTTCCTTGTCTGCAAAATGAGGGTGATGCTGGCAAGGTTCCTTTTTTTTTTTTTAAATCTGCGTGGGTAGTTTCCACTTATTTTTCAAGCCCAGTTTGTCACATCCTCTGTGGTGCTCCTTTTGTTTCCCTGAGACAGCGATAATCATTCCCTCCTCTTTGCTACCTTGCCCATACCTCTGTTTCGCACCTATCACCCTGCACAATCCAGGATAAGTAGTTACCTACAGAGCTATTTCCCCCCTTAAGGACCCAGCACAATGCTGGAACATAGTAGAGCTTCAATAAATTTTTTGTCGAATTAAGCACAGTATTTTAGAATCAGTAGAATTCGTTTGCAAACACAAATCAATGAATTAGTAAAACTTCTTTTGTTTGTATTTAGTCAGCCTGGTGCATTGGGAACAGCATGTGGGAGCTGCTTCTGACATGCTGTGGTTCCCTGTCCCTATAGCAGGGGTCCTCAAACTTTTTAAACAGGGGGCCAGTTCACTGTCCCTCAGACCGTTGGAGGGCCGGACTATAGTTTAAAAAAAAAAACTATGAACAAATTCCTATGCACACTGCACATATCTTATTTTGAAGTAAAAAAAACAAAATTGGAACAAATACAATATTTGAATTTGCATGTGGCCTGTGGGCTGTAGTTTGAGGACCCCTGTCCTAAGATGTTAATGGTTTCCGTACATATGTTGAAGCCCTAGCCCCCCAGTACCTCAGAATGTGACTGTATTTGGAGAAAGGGTCTTAAAAGAGGTGAGTATGTTCCAATGAGGCCAGTAGGGTGGGCCCGAAGCCAATCGCACTGGTGTTCTTATAAGAAGAGGAATCTGGATACCCAAAGAGGGACCGGGGATGTGCACGCCCAGAGGAAAGACCACGTGAGGACATAGCAAGAAGGTGGCCATCTGGATGCCCAGGAGAGGAAGGCCCCGGCCGGCAGCCGGAAGGCCCCAATGGGCCCTGATCGCCATCCAGGCCTAGAGACCCTATCTGTGCATGAATTTCATGCACTGGCCCTTTAGAGTCCTTATAAGAAGGGGAAATTAGAACAGAGATATGCATGGAGGGAAGACAATGTAAAGAGACATCACAAGACAGCCCGCTGTTAGCCCAGGAGGGAGCTTGGCAACAGATCCTTCCCTAACGGCCTCAAAAGGGACCAACTGTGCCAACACCTTGATCTTGGACTTGCAGCCTCCAGAACGGTGAGACCATGCATTCCTACTGGTTAAGCCAGCAGCTCGTGGTACATTGTCAACGGCAGCCCTAGCAAACTGACACACCTTCACCTCTGTAACCCTCATGAACATTTCGTATTAGTGTGCACACCAATTGAATTAGAATATCAACTCTAGAACGACCTTCCCCAACTCACCCTTTGCATTTTACAGATGATAAAACAGAGCCCCAAGAAAGTGAAAGGGCTGCCCCGTGCGGGGTAGTTCTCTAGGATTGAGCTGAGGTCCTGACTGGGCTTTTCCCATGGCGCCTGTGTCTGCTTCGCCTGCCTCTCCACACCTTCCCGGAACCTGCTTCAATACTCGATAAATCTGGTTCGGGCCAGTGCATACTTGGTCCTGAAACTACCTTAGATGGATATGAGCAACTTGACGGTGTTTTTTTTGGACTGTCCTGGGTCACGTGCCAGAGTAAAAGCTCTAGGGCCTGCCAGGACTTTGGAATGCACTAAAATTCCTACTCAACCACACCGAGAAGCGTGACGAGAGTTCTTCCCCTTTTGTGAGATGGGCCAGAGAGGGCTGCTATGACCCGAGAGGGCTGTGCAGGGTTCAGAGCCGCTGCTTCCTCAGCCCCAAGGAAAAACGACAACACATTTACTGTCATTTATCAGGCATTTTAAGTGTGTGATTTCTTCCACTAGTACCTGTGAGGGGTCCAGGGTCAGACAGCTCAGCTCTGTCACGTGCTCTGTGTGATCTTTTTATACTTTTATTTCCTCATCTGTAAGTTGGGGACACTGACACTGCTTGCTTGCTGTGAGGATTAAGTAGGATGCTACAGGACTGGCATATAGTAAACAATGAAGACCTGTCAGTTATGATTTCAGAGAAAGAATCTAAGCCTAGGTTAAGTGACCTACCTTTGTAAGCAAAAAGGGCAGGGTTGGATCTGGGACCTCTGGGGCCATGTCCTGTAAACTCTACTGTCTTGGTCCCACCGGCACATTCTGAATGACTGGCCAGGGAGAGGGGCCTGAACTGGGAGACAGCCTCTGAAGGTCTTTGCTTGTGAGGATCAAAAGAGACCATGGCAAGTGCCTTTGCAATGGTCCAGTGCTAGACCATTCATCATTACTGTGGGCAAGCAGCCAGACACACGTCTAGGCGGGTAGATGACTGACTTGCCATGAATGGCTGAGGAGGCAACACCTGGTGGGTTCAGTTCACCAAGGAACCAGACTGGAGGCCAGGTGGGATTTTCCCAGCAGTTCATGTGGGAATACCCAGGTGAGTCTCTGACTGGAGATGCTATAATGAAATGCATAAACTGGCTGGCTTTCCCTGTCTCTCCATCCCTGGTCATTCAGAAATCCTTCCACGTAAACTCCAAACCTACTGTGGGAGGAGTCTCCTTGGAGATTCCCAGGGGATGCACAGAGGCATCAGCAATGCCTTGCAAGGCCGGCACCCGGTTCTCAGTCCCCGAGGCAGGGACACAGCATATGTTGGTGAAAACAGTCGGTGCTTATCTTCTTTCCAACACCCAGTGCCTAGGCGGGCTTGCTTAATCAGCCCTCTGCTCCTTTCGAAAACAGAATAACGGTGCTTTTCCTTCTCGTGAAAGAGCAATCGGAAGATCTAGGTTTAGGTGCTGACTCTGCCATTTATAAGTTGAAGAAACTTGAGAAAGGTAGCTAAATACCGTGAGCTTCAAGTTCCTTGTCTGCAAAATGAGGGTGATGCTGGCAAGGTTCTTGTGAGGATCAAAAGAGACCATGGCAAGTGCCTTTGCAATGGTCCAGTGCTAGACCATTCATCATTACTCCCACACTTCCCAGTCCAGGTCCTCAGAGAGCTGACTCCCTGAATCCTCTCACCCGCTATGAAATCTACAGCCAATTCCATGAAAGTGGTCCTTCATCACATCCTGCTTTTCATTACTGAGCAAATGTTTTATGTCTTATCTTTATAACACGTTGCTGGAGAGCAGATCACATGTCATATGTCTTCCCAATTTCCTACAGCCTAGGACCAGTGGTCGGCAAACTCATTAGTCAACAGAGCCAAAGATCAACAGTACAACGATTGAAATTTCTTTTGAGAGCCAAATTTTTTAAACTTAAACTATGTAGGTAGGTATATTGTTATTAACTTAATTAGGGTGCTCCTAAGGCTTAGGAAGAGCCACACTCAAGGGGCCAAAGAGCATCATGTGGCTTGCAAGCCACAGTTTGCCGACCACAGGCCTAGGTGATCAATAAGTACTTATTGACGGCATAGAACTGTCCCACCATTGGTGGAGCAGGGACGTGGGAGTCAGTACCTGCCACCCGCACCCCCTCACCCAGCCACCCCTGCTGACTGGAGCCAACGCGAGAGGAGAGAAGAAGGATCGTGACTTGGAGACCGGGCCTCTGGGTCTGCCGCCATCATTTCTCATTGGCTTCCTCAGTTGTGAACTGAGTGGAATAATGCCACCCTCGTCATGATGGGCAGAGAGCACTCCCTGAATACACATGGGAGGCTTTTATAAACCAGAGAGAAAATGTAGCATTGCTACCCAGGTAAAGGCCGTGGCTATAGAAGCAGAGTGGTTGGTCCAGGTGGGACTGAGCCCATAGCATTAAGGTGGCACACTAGCCACTACTCACCTGAATAGGAATAGGAGCTGCAGCTGGACCACGGCGTGAAGGTCTGGGAACGGTTGCTGATGGGGTTGCTCGCGGTGCAGGTGTAGTTTTCGTCAGCGTGCTGGGGGCCGAGGGTGAGGTACAGTGGGTGGGAGGCATTTGCTGCACTCGGCAGGTGGGTGCCTGCCTCCGTGCTCCAGCCGTAAACCACATGGTCCCCCTTCTCCACCATGCAGGCCAGCATCAAGCTGCAGTTCCCGTTCTCCAGGGTCCAGTTCAGCACTTTAATTTCTGGGGTGGAGACCTGCTCTGTCATGAGGGGAGAAAGGGAGCCATCACTGTCATGAGCCCCCTGAGATTCTGACTTGATCTTTTTATTAGAAGAAAATGCAGCCTCCATGTTCCCTCCCAATGGGTCTGCCAGTGTGACTTATTTCTAGCGGGGACCTACAGGTCTGCACCTCCCTCTCTCCCCACATGCTCCTTGCCTGGACCACCGTGGGATAAAATAGAGAAGAAAAAAATTGTCTTTCAGTGGATCCCCTGGTCTTCCCTGATGTTCCTGATTTGGGTTGCTCTGTATTCTATCCGTGGAGTTTGCTGTTAATAAATGCCCCACAGGTTTAATTGTCATTGGCTTAAGTATCACCTCCAAGACATAAAAGAATGACTTTTCATGGTAGAATTTGAGTGTGTGTGTGTGTGTGTGCGCGCGCGTGTCCAGTGCTTTAGAATGTCTGAAGTAGAGGCCTCATTGATCTATCTCACTTTAATGCCATGCAGTCGGCAAGGGAAAGGAAAACGTTTTATTTATTAAAGGCAACTACTATAGGACAGGCATAATGCTGAAATTTTACATTCATCGCGCGTGTCCAGTGCTTTAGAATGTCTGAAGTAGAGGCCTCATTGATCTATCTCACTTTAATGCCATGCAGTCGGCAAGGGAAAGGAAAACGTTTTATTTATTAAAAGCAACTACTATAGGACAGGCACAACGCTGACATTTTACATTCATCACATTCTTTAATCTTCCTAAACACTTTCTTAAAATTACAACCCTTGTTATACTTATTCCCATTTTACAGGCGAGGAAACTAAGTCCCAGGGAAGTGGAGTGCCTTTCTAATGTCACCAGCTGATAGGCAGCCAAGCTGAGAGCTGAACCTAGGGCCGTCTGACTGAAAAATCCAGCCTCTTCCTTCGACTTGAGACTATCATGGCTGCAGAGACCATATTTTCCAAGGAAAGAATTTGATCACAAAATGTGACAAGATGTCACAAAGGCAGGGTGAGCTGTTCTGGAATATGCATGACGTATAGCCTCCACGCTCACAGCAGCCTGCGCCAGGACCACCATGCGACTGATCAGGACTCCTTGGTACTTGCTGGAGGGCTGTAGGAGTTCTGCGTACACTGTTTGGAGGAAAAGGAATTCTGGGGCAGAGAAAGGGCGGGGAGGGTATTTCTGTCTCTCCTGTAGGGACCTGAGGATTTCAAAGAAATGCTGAGGAGTAGGTGAAGCTTCCTGTCCCATCCTCAGAGATAAGGCAGCAGGGCAGCCCACATGGTCGGCAAGGGAAAGGAAAACGTTTTATTTATTAAAAGCAACTACTATAGGACAGGCACAACGCTGACATTTTACATTCATCACATTCTTTAATCTTCCTAAACACTTTCTTAAAATTACAACCCTTGTTATACTTATTCCCATTTTACAGGCGAGGAAACTAAGTCCCAGGGAAGTGGAGTGCCTTTCTAATGTCACCAGCTGATAGGCAGCCAAGCTGAGAGCTGAACCTAGGGCCGTCTGACTGAAAAATCCAGCCTCTTCCTTCGACTTGAGACTATCATGGCTGCAGAGACCATATTTTCCAAGGAAAGAATTTGATCACAAAATGTGACAAGATGTCACAAAGGCAGGGTGAGCTGTTCTGGAATATGCATGACGTATAGCCTCCACGCTCACAGCAGCCTGCGCCAGGACCACCATGCGACTGATCAGGACTCCCTGGTACTTGCTGGAGGGCTGTAGGAATTCTGCGTACACTGTTTGGAGGAAAAGGAATTCTGGGGCAGAGAAAGGGCGGGGAGGGTATTTCTGTCTCTCCTGTAGGGACCTGAGGATTTCAAAGAAATGCTGAGGAGTAGGTGGAGCTTCCTGTCCCATCCTCAGAGACAAGGCAGCAGGACAGCCCACATGGTGGTAGGGCCCATGGGAATTCAAGGACACTTCTGAGCCTGAGATACAAACTGGGTGCCTTCAAGAGGGGCTGGGATTAAAAAGGCTCAGTGAAGCACTGGCCTCGGATTCAGATGAACCTAGGACAGTGATGGCGAACCTTTTGAGCTCGGCATGTCAGCATTTTGAAAAACCCTAACTTAACTCTGGTGCCGTGTCACATATAGAAATTTTTTGATATTTGCAACCATCGTAAAACAAAGACTTATATTTTTGATATTTATTTTATATATTTAAATGCCATTTAACAAAGAACAATCAACCAAAAAAATGAGTTTGCGTGTCACCTCTGACACGCGTGTCATAGGTTCGCCATCACTGATCTAGGTTCTAGTTTAATTCTGCAGTTAAGTGACTTTATAACCAGCGCTTTTGTTTAAATGAGAAAAAGTTCCCTCTTTCCCCAGGAAAATGCAATGCTTGGCCAGGGCACAGGGCTTGGAGGATGCTGCGTGGGCTGAGTTTCAGCTCTCCTCCTCCCACCACCCACACAGATGTGTGAAAGCTTGTACAAACCACTTCTCTGGATTTCAGTCCTCATCTATGAGACTAGGTGGAGCTTGATCAGTGCTATTCAAACTTTTAAAAATCAGGGGGAAAAAGCCACCTTTTTAAAAAAACAAAATCTTACTTGCAAAGTGAGACTCTCAGGGCTCCAGGCCCCCTGGCCCACGGGCAGCTGTGCTCTTTTCCCTTGGTGTGGGGGAGCACGGGACTTGGTTGGAAAGTCTGTAAGGAGGATTCTCGGAAAGGTCGGAGGCCTCTAGGGCAGTGGTTCTCAACCTTCCTAATGCCGCGACCCTTTCATACAGTTCCTCATGTTGTGGTGACCCCCAACCATAAAATTATTTTCGTTGCTACTTCATAACTGTAATTTTGCTACTGTCATGAATCGTAATGTAAATATCTGATATGCAGGATGTATTTTCATTGTTACAAATTGAACATAATTAAAGCATAGTGATTAGTCACAAAAACAATACGTAATTTTATACATGTGTTTTGCGATGGTCTTAGGTGACCCCTGTGAAAGGGTTGTTCGACCCCCAAAGGGGTCGCGACCCACAGGTTGAGAACCGCTGCTCTAGGGGAACCTTGTCGAAGGTGGCAGACCCCGACTTGACTTTTCCAAACAAGTCTGAGCCCACGGGTGTTTTATTGGAATCTATGTTTAGACTTCAGACGTCCTTGCTTAAAGGACACTGCAGATGCATGTGTTTTCTCAAGGATGCTCACCCTGCTGATCCTATCTAGAAGTTAATTTCAGTTCAAGCTATTGCTACAATAAAAGCCTAAGGAGTCAGGCAAACAGGGCTGTCTGGTTCCTTTAGCCAGACAGTCCCTTAGCCCTCTCTTTCACAGAAACATGTGTCAGAATAATCATTCATCCGTCACTCAGTGTCTGGTGGTCAGCCCCGCCCAGCACCTTGGGAAAGTGGGGTCAGGGTGACTATGCTA